AACATGTCTTCCCGGAGTGAACTCGGGACTACCAATCTCAGATTATCAACTGCGTCTCGTGGTCTTCCACGAACGGAGTGTGGAAATCTGTACAACACCCCTCGGTCATCCAGAACGAACAGATCTGCGACCTTACTGATCTTCTTCGAGCGCGTGGATGAGAACCTATCCAGGTCGTCATTCATATCTCCGCTAGATACTCGTCTTCTTCTTGATGAACCTTGATCCGTCTCCAGCGTTCAGCCTGAAACTCTAGCGGTCCCATGGGTGCAACCTCATCGTCATCAGCTTCTTGAGATCGCGATCTCGTGAGTACAGCCATGACTCGGGCGGCAGAAGATAGAGGGGCACATTCAGGACCAGGACTATGTCTCGCTCTTGCATTGTCATCTTCTTCACCAGAGTCTTGTATGAGGTCTCCACTGCGAACTCGAGAGTCAGTGCTTTCTGACGACTTCACCAACTGCTCGCAAATCTTAGACACTACTTCCAGGTGCTGTTTCTCGAGATCATCCTGAACAATCCAGGATTCACCTTGGACAAGAGTTTTCGATGTCAGGTAATCAGCGGCCTGGTTGAACTCGCGCTTCATGTTACCAATCGGACCGTCTGGAAACGTTTCTTCAGGGTTTCACATTCAGCTAGTCTCCTTTGTAGGTTAGGCTGATTACAATTAATCAGACCTTGGACTTGTTGAATCACAATTCTCGAGTCACCCACGACAACTATGTCCCGAATTCCTCTTTCCAAAGCCATCGCGAGCCCTTTAAGCAACCCGAAGTATTCCGCGTCGATGACAGTGACTCCATCCAGGATATAACCTCGAGCATCCAAAACTTTCCATTCAGGTAGCTGCCACAGAATGCATCCACAGCTGCCTTTCCTTGTGGAAGTTTTAGCCGCACCATCGAAACTCAGGACTACTCCGGAGTATTCTTCGGAGAGCATTTCGACGCTCACGACTGGAGGCGGCTTGATGCGCCCCTTGGCTGGAATGAGTACTTCGGTGACTTCATCCAAGTGCTCCCTGGGAGTGATGCCTGCACCCATAATGACGGCTAGGCCATCCTCATCTCGACTGACCTTCCGAATTTCCAAGTCGTACTGTGAGAGAACGACACCCCATGGCATCAGACGGCCTTCGGCGGTCTTGGAGTTGATGACCCATTTCAACACTGAATGTCGTGTGTAGATTATCAGCGAACATCCTTCGATCCGGTTCTTGAACACATGGAGAACTCGCATTACAGCAAGGACTTCCTTCTCAGCAATATGATACTTGAGTTCGGCGTCACTCAGGACACGCCCCGTGAAACGAACCGGTTGAACAAGTCCGTCATGCATCTGTCCTAGAACTGCGCAAGCAGCCCACTGATTCGCATGCGGGATGATCACAAAAGGTTTCGTCCGATCCGGGTGTCTGAGTAGAGGTGTAGACACAATCTTCTTCTTCAGGATCTCGAAAGATTCCCTTGCCCGAGACAAGTCTCGCCCTGCACGCACTTGATCATCGGTCAACTCATAGAGTGAAGCCGCTACCACGGCGTAATCCTCAATGAATTTGTAGTAATAATTCAGGCTGCCTAGAAATGACTGGACTCCTTTCAGGGTAGACGGAAACGGTAACTCCTGAATGCCTTTTATGATCTTCGGGGTGGCACGTATCCCTTTCGCACCAATCTCGTGAGAGAGGTATGGTATGACACGCTTCCCGAATTCAATTTTAGGCAAGCTAACTGAGATACCCCAATACCGCAACCGATAAAGCAGCGCATCTAGATCACCACATAATTGGTCCCACGTGGCCGCCCCATGCGCGATGTCATCAATATATGAACT